TTTACCATCACTTTATCAACATGACGTCAAAACAGGCACCGACTGAACAACAACTCATCCTCAGAGAGACAAAGCAACATGGTAACAACGTTGTTCAACAATTCACTTAGCAGACGTTTTTTATCCAAAGCAACGTACATCATAGAGTAAGTACAACACTAATCCATTCATACACGGCCACTGAAGCAGCGGGAGCAATTCGAGGTTAAGAGTCTTGCCCAAGAACACATCAGACAGTTTGCTCAGATGGGGATCGAACCCTCTACCTTCCGGTTGAGATACGACCGATTCTACCAACTGAGCCTCAGCCGCCCCAACGTTGTCCTCTTTATTCCCGCGTGATCTTGTAGTTCTCCTGTGATCTTGTAGTTCTCCTGTGATCTTGTAGTTCTCTTGTGATCTTGTAGTTCTGTTGTGATGTGTGCACAGCTTCTCATGGCTGCGCTCACGTTTCAAAAACGGACCCAGTGGGAAAGGGGCATGCTGAAGAAACCGTGCCGCTGACGGACCACGGTGCACTGCGTATGTGGAAATTGGAGTGACTTCACTCCGTCACCTTTACGATTTATTTCTTTCACTTATTTCCTGTGATTGTGTGTGCAAATCCATCCGACTTCGATGGCACTCTTTTGTAACCCGCTGAGTCGGGCTGCAATTCAGGTGAACTGGTACATCTTTTGTGATTGTTTTTTTTGCCATGAATTAAAAAACATAAATCAACATATGGTACCTTTCTTTCCTCCAGGTGTCCTACACCATTTTAAAATTCCTTCATACACTGTGCTCTCACTCCCCTCACTCATCCTGCTTCTCTGTTTAGCTCATCATTGGTATTTACTCTGGAGTTTACCAACCACTTTGTCATGACCTCCGTTAGCTGTCAAATGTTCAAACCTGCTCTCGTCTGCTGTTACTGTCAGTTACAGATCCACCAGAGTATTCAGACCCTCCTCTAACCCAGTCACATCAAATCTCCAGTCCCAATCTCAAAAATCCCCTTCTGGCCCAGCGGTTAGGTCGCATCCAATATCTACAGAGACTGTAGTCATCAAAGCAAGCGGCCCAAATGGCAAAAATTCCACTTCTCATCCAAGCGTCAACCCACCGGTCTTTAAAAATGAAGCCAATGGGGAAGTGCAAAAAAACTGCAGTGTCCTACACGTCTATGTGAAGAAATGAAGAGTAAATCATATTTTTGTGTTCTTCAACTTTTATTTATTGTTAAAAATGATTAGTCAGTGACATGTTGGATGATTTGGGAAACAGTGTCTCCACTCCTCTGTCATAATCTTCTCAACCTGCAGCTCAGGTTTTCAGCACTACGTGCTCTGAGTCAAACTCCTAGTGGCAGGAGGTCATCTGTTTACCTCACCCCCCCCCCCCTTTTTTTTTCTTTCCACGCAGCCGTTTCTCCTCAGGTGATAATCAAGCTGTGTCCCTGCCATTAGTACCAACAGCAGATTAATCACGAGCCCCCAGGGCACCATCATCTGTGGCTGAGCTTACCCGGTCTGACCGAGCACATGTTCTCCAACAGGGAGGTGAAGTCAAAGTTTTCTCTCCTTCCCCGTCTAATAACTTTGGATTTATCATCGGCTGTTTGAGTCTGTGGTGGTTTAATCGCCAAAAAAGCCTCATGATTTCACATTGTTTTATGACTTTAATGGATACTCAAGCGATTAGAAACCAGAGGGCCTACTTTGACATCTTTTGGGGTCAAAATGACTAATAGGTAGAGAAAGTTTTGAGAATTTCTCCAGAAGAATGCTTCAAAAACATAATCCAGGTACATCCTCTGAATGGCCTGGCGGTTATGTTGCTTGTCCGATGTAAGGAGGCTGCAGTCCTCGTTTCAACGGCTGTGGGTTTCACTTTATTAATCCCTGATGGTAAATTCTGTTTTACACTCTGTGATGGAGAGAGATACTTCCCACTCACATAGACATGAAATACACACACACATGCACAAACAGGATCTGTGGACATGCACTATTGGAGATGTCAGAGTGGGGCTGCTTCCAGGGGTCCGCCAGAGCTGTTGGGGATTCGGTTCTTCGCTCAAAGGCGACTTTGGTAGTACTCAGGGAGAGACCCGACACCTCTCCAGCAAACAGAACCAACTTCTGTTGTAGTTTGATGGATTTAGAGGCAAATTCCTGCACATTGTCTAACTAGCAAACAAACATTCATTGACTTACTTCATCAGGCAAAAACGTTTTTTGCCAATAAATGCTTGTTTGCAAGTTAGACAGTGTGCGGGAGTTTACCTTTACGTTTTTGATGGACACATTGCACTCCTACACATTCTTATGAAGTGGATGTGCAGAGAGATTGAAACTTAACAGGGACACACAGTTTCTGGCAGCAGCAACAGGCCATGGACGCGTTGTTGTCCGACCTTTGGACCATTATGGAATCATCCACCTGTTCAGATAATGTTTTTTATTTAGTCCACATGCTGTGATGTCCCACCTCATTGCTCTAAACAGATGATGATGATGATGGTGGTATAAAAGAACTGCTCTGAGTACATTAAACAGATCTTCGATTCACAAGCCATACGTCTCTGTCCGATTATTTAAGAGCTCTATCTCCACGACACTTCCACACTTTGGTCTGCACCGAGACTTGAACCGGTAACCCTCTGGATCCCAACCCAAGCAGACTGAGCTTTTGCCGCCCCATATCGACCCCTTGCTCTTTGCTGCTTGTCATCTCTGACTCTCTCCTCCCAACATGTTCTTAAATATGTTTTTGTTAATCAGAAACATCGTTCACATCGATACAATCGTTGCCTCACAGAACCGGGCTCTTATTGGTCTGTCACTTTCTTAACACTTACTTTGTTTACTTTAAAGTTCTGTATTTATACAGAGTCATTAGTGATTCATAAATACGACCTTACCGGAGCCATCGTCATCAAGTGTCACGACACAGAAGCATCTGAAAGTACTGTTGTCTACTGCTTTAATCAAGTCACTGAACATAACTCAGCTGGACGTTCATGGTGAATCATTTAGCCATTTCATTTTTCATGATGTGTGCTGCTGCCCTCTCGGCCAGGCCAGCCCTGTGAAACAGATCTTGATCTCAATGGGTTAATTACCTGTTTAAAGGCTTTATATGTGATTTTTTGATCCAGCAGATGTCGCCCTTGAACACCAGCATGAAACCAAAACAACTTGCGCTGCATTGTTGTGTTAGCATGCTAATGCTAGCGATCTTTATTATGCTCGTATCTTCACACTGCATGTAAATTTACCTGAAATGAGCGTGATCTAGAAACACAGTTAAGCAGTGAGTACAGTATGTTATTCTTCTTTTCTCTAGTCCCTCAATTAAACAACTTTTATACACGAGGGGAGGAGTCAGCTGGCCTTCCTGGCGATGTAAACAAAGTGAAGATAGGACTCTGAAAACTCTGAAAACATCACAGACAGTGGGACTCGGGTGTTACACCCATTGTAGACAGTCTCACAGAGTTATTTTCAGAGGATATACTTGATTTCTATTACATTTAAGTGTGAAAAATCACATATAAAGACTTTAAATAAAATAAATAAATAAAAGATTTCGGTACAACACAGAAAACAACACGTCCTGATATTCAATCAAACCCTCTCTTCATACATGTGTCCTCTATTCCCTGAGGTGGAGATCAACTTTCTGTCTGTTCAGGATCAGATTTCAGCACCTCGGACAGCTCCCGAGCCATCCCACTAGCAAACCTGCCCTCCTCTGCTGCTGCCGTCTGCTGCAGATTGGTTTGATTATTCAGAGCCTCCTCTACCCTTAGCAACCAGTCCCCAGTCTAAACTCTCCAAAATCCCCTTCTGAGGCTCTGATGGCCTAGCAGTTAGGTAGCATCTCATCAACTCAGGAGGGTCTAGCATAGGTTGGGAAGACGGGAACGACGTCACTCAGGTTTCAAAAATATATATTTACAGTCAATGAGTCAAACACGTTGCAAGTGTTTGTGCTGCAGATGTTACGTTGCAAATTAAAAAAAATGTTTGACTGCATCGGCCTTTTTAAAATCATCCCAAAAAAAACACATTTAGCATGTGAGCTAATAGGACTTTAATAAAAGTGCCAAACTGATCCCGTGCACCGCCACATCCTGAGCTCCTTTCAATACTTTCAGGAGTTTTAGAAAAAGTTAAAATTGTCAAAGTTCTCCTACTAAGTGGTGCAAAGATTAAAACGACACAGCTTCTGTCACGGTGAATCATTAAGATACCAAACTGTGGATCTGTTTGGGACCGGGACTTCAAAGTAGGCTGTGACTTTGTCAGCACAGAGACCTGAAGTATCAGGGAGCTTTAGAGCCATTACAGGAGACACTGTCCATGCAAAGTCATCGCTCTCCCTCTCTGTCTCTCTCTCTCTGTCTGTCTCTCCTCTCTCTCTGTCTCTCTCTCTCTCTGTCTGTCTCTCCCTCTCTCTCTGTCTCTCTCTCTGTCTGTCTCTCCTCTCTCTCTGTCTCTCCCACTCTCTCGCTCTCACTCTCGCTCTCTCTCCCCCCTCTCGCTCTCTCTCCCCCTCTCTCTCTCTCCCTCTCTCTCTGTCTCTCTCTCTGTCTGTCTCTCCCTCTCTCTCTGTCTCTCCCACTCTCCCACTCTCTCGCTCTCCCTCTCTCCCCCCTCTCTCTCCTTCTCTCCCTCTCTCTGTATCTCTCTCCCTACAGAAAACATTTTGAACAACATATATACAGTAAACAAATACAACAAATATGAATAAAAGACATTAACAATAACATGAATTATTTTTACAGTGTATTTCTATGAAACATTAAGTGTATTTTGTCTCAGTTTGTGACAATCATGAACATGATCAATCATAACAATCATAATCTCTCTCTCTCTCTCTCTCTCCCTCTCTCTATCTCTCTGTCTCTCTCTCTCTCTCTGAGGCGTGTTTCAGTCTTTGTGGATGCATTGTGTTGTCTGAAAACTCGCTTACTTAAATGTAAAGTTCAGAGATGAACAGAACATTCTTACCTTTCCAACGTACTGTGGTTCAGACCCCATGTACTCCTCCAGGACAAAGAACTGGTTCCACACCCACCCTCTTTTAATCCGCTGGACCCTCGACCTCTCGTGTCCCCTGGGCCTCGTCCTGCCCTCTGATGATGTCACTTCCCATGATGGGGCCCTCACTTTATTACCTCCGGGTCCCCCCCCTGGCAGACATCCCTCCAGCTTTAGCTTTGCTTTGGAGCTGAGCCTGCAGGGGTACTTGGGCGCTGTAGCCCAACAGGAAGCAGGAGCCCACCAGAAACAGAGTGGCATATTCCCTTGTGATCATCAGGGAATAACGCTGGTAGAAAAATAAGCTGGAGTAAAGTTCAGAGAGCTGGCTGAGTCCAGGGTGGGAACAGACATGCATCCAAAGCAGGGTTCAACCTGCAGGTGAGCATCGGGCAGAAGGATTAAACTCCAAGATGATCCGAGATGATGCGAGGCAAATCTGTTAAAGCATCAATCTCTCTGAAAACCATTGTGCTGGATCAGCGAGTCACTGGACACTCTGATTTACAACGGAGAGTTCAATACATTTCAAGTTTGATTTTGAGGCAACCAAGTCGCTCTTCTCGCTGTCTCCGCCTGTCCTCTGCTCAGACACCTGGAGGAAAAGACAGAGGGGAAGCCAGTGATTAGTTCTTATGTGCTCATATGTAACTCTGACCCCTAGTGCTTAAAATGGGTACTGCAGTCTAAATTCTAAACATTGTAGAGAGACTTCAGCAGCACTTCAAATCAAAAGTCAGGAGGTACTGTAGCAGAACTACACTGGAGGGTCAGTTTCCCTGTTTCAAAACTTAAGATCACTTTTAGAGGTTTAAATTCAAATACTGCAATTTCAGTATTTGCTCAGAGATGTCTTTTTGTCTGACACACTGCACACATATAGCATACCTTTAACCTTACATTTAACCTCCACATAGACGTTAGAAGACATTTTGAAGTGTGAGGTTTGGACCACCATGACACACCATCTGTGATGTAAAGTGTTTACTCAGCACTCGTGACTTCAGGCATCAACACCAACTCTTCAGACGGAGTAAGTAAGTATCTCCATCAGATCAAACAGCTCTGATTAGAAAAAGGCTTTAGCGTGCGAGCTTGGCTGCCACGCTGGATTAGTGTGACAGCTGATGGATGTAGCTGCACGTGCAGAAACTTAAAAGAAGAGGTTTGCTTATGTCAGATCATTTCTTTAAGACCTTACTGCCGCCACCAACAACACCCCAGATTAATAAAGCAATACAGCAAATTAAAGAAAGAAAACAGACCCCCCCCCCCCCATTCATCCAAAAACATACACCTGCATATCTCCCCTTATATTCACACGTCACAAGAAGAAGAGAGAGGAGGAGGATCATTTACTTAGAAACCCCAGAAGGATTTCCATTAAATCTGAAACATTTCTATTCTCATATTCAGCAGACAAAAGATCACAGTCACCTTTGACCTTTGACCACTAATCTTTGGGTCCAACTGGACACATGCACTACTTTTAAAGATACCCCCTGATTTCCAGAGCCTTCTCTAGGATCCAAACGCTTAAGATCATCAACATTTCCCTCCTTCAATAAGAGGAGAATGAATCCATCAGAAGTTAAACTCCTGCACAGAAGCGTTAGCATCACTTCTCACCGACACACAGCCAACATATCTGTGCAGGAGTTTCATCAAACAAAGGAGGAGGAGAATGAACTGATATCGGGAATTATCTATGAATGTCTAGAACTTGTATCATTGTTGCCGTGGTATAAAAACAGAAATAAATATTGTTTGATTTTTACTAGAATCAAATCTAATGGCTTGCAAACGTTAGCGACAAACACACACACATCAGCTCGAATCAAATGTTTCCTAGAGGAGTTTCCCAGCAAGGGACACACCACATAAGAACCTTGTTGAACCTCACAGCGAGCCATTTACGGACGAGCCTCTGAGTGTTGTGATTTGAGTCAATGGCTCGTCAACACAAAGCACCACCTTCAAAATCAAAGCACCACATGTTATAATGTTTACGAGGGGAAACTGAAATTCACAGAGCAGAGAGTTGATGCTCACTGTCCACACTCACTGTCACTGTGGACAGTGAGCATCTGTTGGTGTTGATGCAAAAGGATATCCAACACCCCCCCTGACAACCCCCTAAGAACTATATTGCAGTTTAAATTAAACTGTACAATGAATTAAACTATCATTTATATATCTTCCAGGTGGCATTTGAATCATTTTTGAGCATGTAAAATGTTTTTAGAATTGTTTTGTTTCTCAGAGTGACGAAATAGTTAAAGGCTTTCTATGTGATTTTTCACACTTAAATATAATAGAAATCAAGTATATCCTTTGAAAATAACTCTGTGAGTCATGACTGTCTACAATGGGTGTAACACCCGAGTCCCACTGTCTGTGATGTTTTCAGAGTTTTCAGAGTCCTATCTTCACTTTGTTTACATCGCCAGGACGGCCGGCCGGCTCATCCCCTCACATATAAAAGTTGTTTAACTGAGGGACTAGAGAAAAGAAGAATAACATACTGTACTCACTGCTTAACTGTGTTTCTAGATCACGCTCATTTCAGGTAAATTTACATGCAGTGTGAAGATACGAGCATAATAAAGATCGCTAGCATTAGCATGCTAACACAACAATGCAGCGCAAGTTGATTTGGTTTCATGCTGGTGCTCAAGGGCGACATCTGCTGGATCAAAAAAATCACATAAAGCCTTTAAGCATCACGTCTTATTCGACCAAAATAATTTTTACAACTCAGAGAGAACCTAGCTGAACAAAAACTAGAAATTTATTTACCTTTACTCATTCAGTCAGTCTGACCCCCCCCACCCTCCACCCCCCTAAACACACACAAGAACGGCTCTTAACCTGGGCTAGGGCTATCGCCCCATCACAAATCTGTCTAGCCTCGGTTAAGCTCCCTCACGTAAATCTGCTTTAATTTGAAAAAAAAAAAAAAAAGCGAGGACTTCTTGAAAATCGACTATTCATAGGACCCCCACATGTTAGTCAAGCTGCCCCTCAGCACCGGGAGACACACACACACACACACACACTACAACACCTTCCCTCCTCACAGTTAGACCAGCGTGTTCTGTGAGATAAAATGATTTTATTTGTCAGTAGACTCGGAGGCTTCGGAGCAGGGTGTAACATCTGTTTCTGGTCATACTTTCATCCTTAGGTCTTTCCCCCGATGATTCTAAAAGAGCGTCCAAACTGCACACGTCAGAGCTGTGAATGATCCGTCATGTGCAGCAGCTCTGTTCAGCCCAGATTAACTGCTGCTGCGGGCTGTAGATGTGCTTCAGTTGGAAACGAGTGAATCTCCTCTCAACTGTGACATTTCTGCTCCTGTTGGCCCACTTCTATTGTTCAGCTCTCTCGTTGTAGTTAGAGATCGTCAGGTGATGCACACGCACAATGAACTCCAAATCACAAAGAGAGAAAATGACAGATTAAAACGGTCAACTGGTGAAAGTTCCTCCAACAATGTGACTTTATTCTGAATAATCCAGGTTCTGTTCAGGTCAGGAGGGACAGCGCTGTGCTCTGCTGTCCCTTTCACCATCACATGACAAACGCTGGCATGGGTCAGTGCTTCCTGAAACAAGAGATGGTGAAAAGGCCCCCTGGGGAGAGGCTTTAGTGTGTGTGTGTGTGTGAGGATATGATCTCCAGAGAGGCTTTAGTCCAGTCAGGCACAGAACCTCACACAGTATTAAAATAATTTGGAGAGGAGGATGTGAGTTGTTCTTCAGAGCCGGTCTCTATGAACTTAAAGTGTGGGCATGTCGTACGGTTGGATACAAAACAAAATCTGATGTCACATGAAATGTTTCTTTACTGTGTGAGATGTTAAAAATGTGTGCAGCTACTCACAGAAGATCGGATGTTGCATGTTGTTGTTTGAAAAGTCAGAGGTGAATCATCGTCTTCTGACCGGATGAACAGAAACTTTAAAGGACTTTAAAACAAAAAAATACAATCTGAAAACTAGCCTTTCTATGCCCCCCCCACCACCACTGTCCTGTTTCACTAGCAGGGCTCTGTGAGGTAGAGACAGCAGATGACATAAACATCCAAAAGGTTATTCTGAAATCAAGTTCACATAACCATATGCACTGTGAAGTTGATGCATATCGGTCGGTTGTTATAAGTTTGCCTTTTCTTCAGTTGTAACTGTCAGTTATTAAACCTCTACATTCATCATCCCTGGGTGGGCGATGCCGTTGCTCTTCTCCCACACGGTGGCAGGGCTAACGATGGATCGGGACGGGTTCACTGAAAAAACGAATGAGTCATTATTTTAAGAGAGAATCTTTGTTAAAAATAAGATTAGTTTGGTTCTGCAGGTGTGACTATAGGCCTTTGTCTTTAACCACTGTACCAGAGTTTTTGTTATCTGAAACTGTTTCAATCAAAATGTGATGTGGTCCAGTCAGCCGATTGGATGGTCACAGACTAACCCAGGATCCCTGCACAGCAGACAGCTATATAGAATATACGGCTACTTTTTAAAAAGACTTCCATAATTTAAATGTTAAATTTCAGCCCCCTGCTTCAGGGGAGACGTTCAAATCCCTTCGTGATTAAAAGGATGAACTATAAACTCATGTGTGTTTCATCTGTGCAGCTTCATGAAATGAAGAGGAGAAGACAAAGTTGCATCTGCTACATTTAAAGTATTCAACTTGAGCAGAAGATTCATGTTATTTTGTGTTTTTGTGTCCTCTGCAAATATGTTGAATGGCAAGTTTATGCCAGTGAGTTTCTTCATCCAGTCCACAAGCGTAAAAGTCGTCCATGTTTGTAGTCCATACAGCCTTTCTTCAAACTGTAAACATTTCCCTGAATCAGTCTCTGTGTGCTGAGCTCTGAACCTGTGAGCTGCCCATGAGTCCACTGTTCTTGGAGGCTTTTTTTTTGTTTGCCCTATGAACTCAGTGCTGAAATACTCTGGTACACGTCGTTTCATCTCCTCCAGAGGACACAATTTCCACAATCTCACAGCAAATATGGAAAGCTGCAAAACTTTTCAGAGCATCTTCACAATCCCCAAAGCCACATTTCAAACCCTCAACACAGATGACCAGCAGCTGTTCAACCCTTACTGTCTTTAGTGGTACTTTTCTTTATGGTATGGTACGTTATGTGATTTCTTGAAGATTTAAAAAATTCTTTACCTGTACAACCCCAGGCAAAAAGGTATGTAATAGGGGCTTTCACACTTGCAGAAAACTCTGGATATTTCCAGGAGGAGCTGCATGTGTGAACGCAAGCAACCACACTTTTCACCCAGACTTCACTTGGAGTTTGTCCTGCCGGCCCTCGAGTATTCTTTCTACAGCGTGTCAGAGTGAGCTGATGTGAGAACACAGCAGGATATAATCAGGAGAATTCACCTGGAGCCAGTGGGAGGGGGTGGTGACGTTTATTCCCTGTGATCGCTGCACGACCATAGACTGTGTGCACGCCACCTCTATCATCTCTGTGCTCTAATGAACCTGCTGCTGCATGTTTCCTGTTCTCCAGTATGTTCTTCTCCACTCTTTAGTTCACATTGAGATTCTCTTCAACTAC